GGAGAAGAGCGACCTTCCCGCGTGAAATGGACAAGACCCTTCCTGCCAGTCCTTTCACCTCTCACTTCCGCTGCGGCTCGAGCGACCTTCCGAGACATCTCGGATAATTCCGCTGATGACGACGATGCAGTTGACGAGTTGCTCGAGTATACCGGCAACCTGCCCCTAGCCGTAACTCTAATGGCCAACCTCGTGGCATTCGAAGGCATGGAGGCGGTCATTGAGCAGTGGAAGGCCGAGGGAACCTCGATTCTTTCTGATGGTGCGGACCGCCGAAATAATCTGAATCGCTCAACGGCGATTTCTCTATCGAGCCCACGAGTGGTGGCAACGCCAGGAGCGGAAATCTTGCTGTCTTTACTTGCCATGCTTCCAGACGGAATGTCCATCGCGACCTTAAACGAAACGGGCCTTTCTATTCCCAATTTGCCAAAGTGCATCGCGGCACTGCGCCGTACCGCCCTCATATACGTCTCCGACACCGACCAGCGTCTCAACACACTGGTTCCGATCCGGGAGTATATGCGAGCCCACTCCTCCCCTCCTAAAGCATTGTTGCAGACACTGCGGGACTACTTCTATAATCTACTCCATCTCTTCGCCGACGTTGACCAACCACCTCCTGGGGGCTCAGTCCGTAAAGTCACGTCAAATTTGGGAAATATCCGCTCAATATTGGAATATTTCGCGCACCAGGGCGGGGATGAGAGTCGAGACGCTATTCGAGGGATAATCCAGCTCGCCAACTTCACGCACCACTCGGGTTATGGGACACTCGACCTGCTTCGATCTGTCAGGCCGTTGGCGAAAGGCCTGGGAGATGAGGGCCTTTACGGAGAATGCCTTCATACGTTGGCAAAATCTCCGGAAGAGCCTGAACTTGAACCCCTACTTATGGAAGCGATTTGCTGCGTTGAGGCAGTACATGACCTCTCGGCCCAAGGTGCGCTGAAACCACACGATGACCTAAATCGCATTCATTTATTTCTTAGCAATGGCCTATATGTATATGTCGGCGTACCATGTAAGGGTTGGAGCTTTAACCCTAGCTATGGAGACCGCGCGGACGGCGTTGGAGCTCGCTGTCCAGGCTCAAAACCCTAAGCTTGAAGCCCTGGCATTGGTTCGCGTATCGACAATCGAATACCATCAAGGAAACCTTACCCTTGCCCTGAAGCACGCCCGTGAGGCCGCCGATATCGCACGAGAGGGTTCGGCTCTGGTGCAGGAGATTTCTAGTCTTCGTCAGCAAGCCTACTATCTTACAGCGTCAGAAAACTATAAAGAAGCTGGCGATGCTTGCAATACCGCCGCCTCACTCGTGACCGCTCTGGGCCTCGACACAAGTTCGTCCCTGTATCGTGGCATCATCATGGTCCAAGCGGACATTTATCTGAGGCGCACCGAATACGCCAATGCACGCAGAATCAACGAGCCTTTGGCGACTGCGCGCAATACCCGAGGCGAGCCCTTGCGAATCAAAGCATATGCGATGTACAACATCGCGCTGATAGACATCGCGACTGGCGCCAGAGATCACCCAGCAATATTGAACGACATAGCGGCGGCTCAGCATATATTCTTGAATGTCGCGGATCGGAATGCAGCTAATTGCTGCAACATTGTATCAACGGAAGTGTATTTTCTCGAAGGGGACTACGAGAAGGCGAGCAAAATTTGCCTTGACATACTTGCCGTCCCCGAACTCTCTGGCGACGCTCGTTCTATGTGCTTCCAACGGTTGGGAGACATTGCATATGTACAGAAGAATTTCTTTTCTGCATTGCACCACTATATCCTCAAGTTGATTATCTGTCACAAGCATGAAGACATGTGTGGGAGGACTGACGCTCTGCGGTGTATTGGCGATATATTTCTGGCCCATGGCAAGGTCGATGCCGCACTGCATTCCTGGGCAGTTGCTTTGGGAGGATTTAAATCCATGGACATTCACAGGGGGCGAGCGGAATGTCTCCTGCGTATTGGCGACGTGTATATGGCGCGTGGACAGGATCAGAGGGCCAGAGAACAGTGGAGGGATGCACGTACCTTCTTTGAACTTTGCTCGCAGACACGACAAGTCGAACAATGCGATGAAAGGCTGTTCTGATATCCTCCTGCGTATATCAACATTATGGTGTCAGATCGCTGTCGCTGCGGTTCCCAATTCCCAGCTGTATGACCCGAATAATATTTTCACTCTTTACATAATGAGATGAGATTGTGGTATTATAATATTATGGACTAATCTAATTGCTATTCGGTGTGGTGCACACTTTCGAATATTCATTCTGCTTCAACAAAGTGAGGCCAACGGGTACCAGTGTTTGGACATTGGCACTGTTGGCACAGAGCTTCAAGGAAGTGCAATCATGGAGATTAGTCACCGCAGTGCGCACCACAACCGCTCCCAAGTCTCCCTTGTCCTGCACCTCTCGCAGTATGTAACTCGGGGCATCATCGGCCTTGCCATATACCCACTCCTTGTCCACCGCTCGTAGCGCCACAGCGGATTTGTTGAAGGCATCAACAATGGAGAACGTGAGGAAACCACTCTCGTGGAAGGATCCCAATGTGCAAAAAGTAGCGTTCGGTGTGATGCAGGTCGCGGAGAGGGTCGAATTGCCTAAATAGTAAGTCACAGTTGGTAATGGGGATGGCGTCGGGCCCGCTGGAGTGAGGTGCCAATCATCTCGGTCGTTGATCAAATGATACTCTTGCTGCTTTTCCAACCTTCCGTCTGGTTGCCGGAAATAGAATGCAGCATTTGGCACCGCATCCTGTGGGGAATTGAATGCAAGACCACCTAGAACAACTTCAACCATGTATGAGTCACAACGATGAAGCCATGCGTTCTGAAAGGCCATCAGTGAGCATTTGTGGATATGAATTCTGGTCGATTTATCTCCCGACTGAGATTGATACCAACAGTCGGGGCGAAAAATGGCCCTAAGCACATTATGACCGCGACGGGAAATAAAACCAAAATGTGATCAAAACGCCAGAAATAGCGAAGCACCCTCGACCGAATTAAACTCCGTCCGGTTGAACCAGAAATATTCTTCCGCTGGAAGTACCACATCCACGCAACGATGTTGACACATCCCCAGAAGAACCCAAAGACATGCACTGAACACAGTAAGCAGGTTAGCTATGCCCGTTATCAGCCTAGAATGATTCCTACTGATTAAATAATATGCTTGCCATCCAGCGTGAGATTTGTTTACCGCAGACCTTGGATTCGGATCGACTGCACTTCGAATATCTGAAATCATGAATATTGAGTATTGCAGACTTCAGAATGGTACTGGCTCACAATATGTGATCCAAACGGCGTCAAGAACGTTTACAGAGACCCAGATTACGCCAAGAACTGCGAGAATATCAGCACTTGCCAAGTACACGAAATATATCAATCCTCACGAAGTTGGGATTTACTGGGTCTCCTGAGTTGATTTTTTGTTGCAATATTATCATCCTCGCCATCCCGCTCGTCATCTTCTTCATTTCTCTGGGAAATATTGTGCAGACTGACGTCAGATCCCCCAGAGGAAAATACTAACGAGGGACCGAATGCTAGTGCCTGACTTGAGAACCTTTGGGACAGACGATTTGTCCTCGCCATCCCGCTCGCCATCTTCTTCATTTCTCTGAGAAATATTGTGCAGACTGACGTCAGATCCCCCAGAGGAAAATACCAACGAGGGACCGAATGCTAGTGCCTGACTTGAGAACCTTTGGGACAGACGATTTGCGACTCCATCCAACGCTCATTTTGAAGGTGAAAAAAAACCCCCAACATCATATTCGGATGCGGGGAGTCGAACCCCGGGCTGCAGGTGGCACTTCCTCTGCCCATATTAAATAAATGCGGCCATGCCCATGCACCACATCCGAGCTATACACCTGCTCGCGACTCTGGCTAAGTAGGACACATTCGAAACCATTCAAGAAGCGGCAAATAAAAAAAGCACGACCACTCAGACTTCTTTTCAATGCAGAAAAAGGTAAGTGTGCGGGAATTTTGAAGGCTCGTTGAGGAGACAAAAAAGAGACTGCTCAGAAACTGTTACCATGCGCTGTATCTCCATGCTGCTTCAAACTCGTTTTTTGCTGAATTTAATTTATTATTTTAGGTTAGAATGTGACTCTGAACGTCTGCGGGGTGCTCGAAACTGTGGCTCGACTTGAGGTATGTAGATCTGATTTTTTTCTTCTTGAGTTATAATAAGAGATCGAAGCCATGCAAGCAACAAGGTATACTTCTCATATTCAATTCGTATCAACTGATTCTTTCTCTAACCTCCGACCCTCCGTGCGAAAACTCTGAAAGTCTAGGCGGTAAGCTACTCCATTTTTTCAGTTGTGCTAATATCCTTGGCTTTCACATGAGACCGTTCAATTTGCCGTGTTAATATTTCTCAGAGCATATAAGTGTCTTTCGCATATTCGATTCATTTTTTTCTGACTATTTTCTTTTCCCGTCTCGAAACTCGGCGGTAAGCCAGTCCATTTCAATCAATCATGCCCTATTATTTGCAGATTTATTGCGTTCTATAAACGAGTGATCAGTACTTCAAGGTTAAAGTAAAATTCCTGTCATTGACCAGATTCTTGAACTATATTTCTCATATCTATTCAAATGTGGCATACGATCTATGACTTGTGCTGCTCTGTAATAAATCCCCCGCTCCACAGCTTGTTCTGCATTCAAATTTGCTGGCTCAAATTTTAAACTGCAAGAGGATCGGTTTCGTCGGTGTTTCCAACTTCAACAGTGGCCTGAATGTTCTAATCGAACGCTCACTCGCACGTACGCAGAGAACTTATGTAATGTCAGTGAGACGCATAAATGTCGTGTTAATTCTATTTAAAGGGCGAGCCTCAAGCATATTCTTCACTCTCACCGGATCTCATCCAACCCTGAGCAGCTGAAACCATTCAAGGATTTTCTTGACATGCGAAAAAGAAAAGCGAATAAAAGGTTTCGCCAAGCTCAATTCAGATATGGGGAATCGAACCCCGGGTTGCGGCTGAATAATGCTTTATGCTGAATTAAACGCCGCCGTGCCCATGCACCACATCCGAGGTATTTACCTCCGTTGAAACGTGGCTGAGTGTGATACAGTTTAGATGTTCCAATGACAAAACTTAAAAGTACCAATACTTGTAGTCTCCCCAGACTATTGTTCCGTTTGGGTCTGGAACTGCCCTGTCTAGCTGGAACGACATTTTCTTATTTTTTCCCCCGTAAATCTTTGCCCCCAGTATTCCCCGGGTCTTATTAGTGAATATCTAATGCATGTACGTACAAAAGAACTAAGTGGCTTGGTCAGAGGAAAGTATGGTTAGCTCGTTACCGGGCGCGTTGATGAGAGGGTAATACAGAATATTACCGAAAATCCCCCTGTCCGCTCATTCCGAAGCTGCGAAAAATTTCAAGCACCTTTTCAAGCAATAGAAAAATATTTCCCTCTCTTCAAAATCTGTTTCCGGAACGGTTTGCCTACGACCTGGGTGAGAGAGCCACATCGTCACTCCATGTCACAACCTTGACAGGAGCTTGAGATGTCAGGCATTTCTGTTCAGGATATGGGCACATTGTTCCGGGAGCATATTCTGAGGAGGCAGAAACCATTTTTCATTATTTGAAAATACGCCTGAAATTTTATGGGGCTTCGGGGTCAGCGGACACGGAGAAAGTGCGTAATGATTAACCGTTCTTTAAGCAAATCCGCGGCGATTCTTTACATCTGTTTGCAAGTCTGTTTGATTTATCTCCATCGAGATTATCCCCTTCTCTCTTTCCCCCTCTTTCTGCTCTTTTCTCAATGTCAAATGACCAACGCGCAGACTCAATAAGCTCCAACACCACCGCCTCTGCATGCCTCAGGGTTACATTTTATTCCTATACAGTCAGTTTGTTCCCACTGGACCCGCCATTGCCGAGGCGCCGTAACCTGGTGCGTCACCGCAAGCTGTGCGAACAACACGAATTGGGCCAGTGGAGGTAAGGATGCAAGGCGCGTGAGTCCACGCTCTGTAACAACTCCTCAGACGACACGTTGGCGGCAGTAGTGATGCTGCGGCCACGTATGCTTTTGAAACGTATAAAAAATATGCATCCCAAAGTTATTTCTGCATCGCCTGCTTCCTCACTCCGCTCTCGCTTCCGTGTCCCTGCTCTTTTTGCTCAAATGCACCAGTGTCCTGTTTTTCCCCTCGTGTTGCATGCAAGACTGGCCCAAGTTCGCATACCTGGCTGTATTCAACTGCAAAATTCTATCCTTCAACCGGTAAATTTTTGGCCCACAAATCAGCGATTTTTTTGGTTCTTTCTAGGAACACTTGCTATTGGGAACTACGGGTTGCAACTTGGGCCGATCTCATAGTTGCTGCCAATTTCTAGTATCGGATTCTCTCTCTGAACTATGACTCTGGTATTTGGTTCCAAAATTTTGTTCATGAATGGCCTTTGAACCACATCCCTTTGCTTTACTTTGCACTTTGACATAATTATGTACACCCATTTGGGACTTGAACAAAAATATATTGTAAATGTGATCAAAAGCGGGAATTCCCGGGGTGCCGTGTATTATAATGAGCGTGCCGAGATATTTAATAAGGGATAGCAGCAAGCTAAGCGTATCAGCAGGATTTTTGCTGTCGCATTCAAATGTGCATACAACTGATAGGCCTGTTGAAGACTGGCAACAATGGAATGCGACTGTCAGTAACAACAGGGCACATTGCATTATCACTACAATCTTTGGTAGGCCGACCAGGATGACCCGAACGCCATTCAGTTAGCGAGTAACGCGCTCAACTGCTGCCGTTTCAGTGTGAGGGAGAGAGTCTACTAAAAACTGGGCTGCAAGAGATCAGATGACACTCTTTGAAGAAGTACCGTATCTCGTTGTTCCCCCCGATGTTCATCGTGAAGGCTAAAGGTAGAGGAAGAGAGGAACAGGGGCCTGATTGATTAAGGTATGGAAGCTGTGCAGCCGCTGTCAACGAAGAGCTTAATCTCATCAACTGGATGTTTTTTTACTGTTCACCGCAACTAGTTGCTTTTATAATTGTTTACCTCAACTAGTTTTTTTTTCTTTCTCAGGCCTGGACATCGTGTTTTTTCAAATTGCAAACTCAATACTAAGCTGTTTTCTTGGTATAAAAATCAGCATAGCATTTTTTTGCGAGCACATTCGCAGCATCACGATTTTTTTGGCATTAGGTCTTTCACTAGATGTTTTTTCTGATTTCAAACTAGTTCATGGATGCAAATTTTCGAAAATTGGCCGAACTAAGCGGCTTTTTATTTTTCGGACAGTATATGTGCCATAGATGTAGATGGTCGATAGCTCAGATAATAATTCGTTGTATTTTGAAGGATCATAAGTGCCATCCTGACCACCGTCGCTGAGACGGGGGCTTTCGTTTCTAGCGAGGGAAATGAGCATGGGTGAAAAATACACAGGAGACGTAGACGATAGATTTATCGGACAGTATACCGCCCATATGCATCCTCGTCTGTACCATTTTCTACCCAGCATACATTCCATCATACCCACTGTTTATTCCCCAGGTGAGAAACAAACGCCCCTGTCTCAGCGACGGTCCAGCTGTAAATTACACCCAGCTGTAGCTTAACAGATTCTTGTGGTGTGATAGGACCTTTGAAGTCCGGCACCAACTTGAAAAGAGACTTTGCCAGCACCTTCTGGGCTTCGAGTTCTTGAGCTGTATCTGTTGTGCGGTCAGACGAGGGGCCATTGCGAAATAGGGGAGATGCTAATACTCACGCGGTCCAACTGCAGTGTTGACCAGGCCTGGGCTAATGGCCAGGAAGACAAATCCTTCTTCTTTGAATTGGGCCGCATATTTCGCGACAACCATGTTGAGAGCTGCCTTGGATATGCAATAAGAGGGGTGGGCACCGCTCTCGGATTGGAGGGTTAAGTCGAGGTCGCCCATTCCGCTGCTGAGACTAATTACTTTCTTGACGGAGCCCTGGCGGAGAAGCGGGAGGAATGCGTTGATAGTATGGACCACTCCGATGGTGTTTATCTTGAACTGCTGAAATTTAGAGTCGCGTTTTGATATGAAACGACGGGCATACGTTGTCAAGTAAGTTCTCTTCGAGCAGCTCGTCATTCGGACTGAATGAACACTTGAAGCTCATCCTCTCATTGGGTTAACGAGACACTTACAATCCATCCAGGGTATAACCGGGATCATCGCTCCTGGCAGCGTTGTTAATGAGATAGTCCAACTTGCCACCGGTAACCTTCGCGACCTCTGCAGCCGCAAGCTAAGATTTATCGTTAGAATATCCGTTAAATGATTTGAAGCACCTACTTTGAGAGCCTTTGAATCAGTAACATCAGCCTGGAGAACTTTGACGTTTCCCAGTAAATTGTCTAGTTTTGTCGCCGTTGCCTTGTTGCGAACGATAGCGAAGACGATATTGTTACTGTCAGAACTGATTTGCGTCACGAATTCCAGCTGAAATAGCACAGATAGTTAGAGGAATATTGCCGAATATCGAAGTGACCGACCCCAATGCCTCTCGCGGCACCAGTGATAACATAAGAAGCCATAGTGGGAGTGGGATGTGTTGTGTAAGGTTAAGAAATGCGAGTTTAGACTAAATGAATGACTTTTAAACCTTGTTTAGTACCAAGTTTAGTGGTGCTTATACATCGCTTGCTGGAGTGAGTTGGTAATCCCCGATTTGTTGGGCCTACAGGTTGTGTTAAATCGGATCCCCGCCACCTGCTGTCACCCAAGATAGAGTCGGAATCCCGCAGGTGACATAATGTTGTGTTGAGTCCTGACTCAAACGGTGATTAAATGGCTACAGATCCTGTGAACTCCTCCGTTTCGCGCAATGTTGGCCCATCCAAAGGATCATATTTCGCAGAGGGAACATTTGAGATTTCCAAGCTGCCTTGAGTCTGGTTGGTGCCAAGTTTGGTGGTGCTTGTATATCGTTTGCTGGAGTGAGTTGGTAATCCCGGATTTGCCGACCCTACAGGATGTGTTAAATCGGATCCCCCCCACATGCTGTCACCCAATATAGAGTCGGAAGCCCGCAAGCAATATAGTGTTGAGTCCTGACTCTAACGGTGATTGAATGGCTGCAGATCCTGCGAACTCCTCCGTTTTGCGCAATGTTGGTCCCTTCAAAGAATCATATTTCGCAGAGGGAACATGACCGACCAGTAAATAATACCTCGTCGGCTCGATATGTGTGTTGAAGAGAGAAAATCTACTTATACAAAAGACAATGATTCTATGATAACGTCTACTGGCCAATCAGCTTTATGCGCTTAGTTTATCCAAGCATGCACAAACATCGGGTCGCTCCGTGATCGCATTTCCTCGACTCACTGCGTTTTCCGAAAGATTTCCAGAGAGGCTTTTCATAGGATATGTGGAAAGATACCCCGGGATTCTCTCTGCCGTCGTTAAATTTCTCGATGGGAATTTTTGATGGATATGTGAAAATTTAGCTGTCAATTCAGGGATTATGCAAAATTCCTTACCTACCTACCTACCTACCTTCCTACCTACCTTGAGGCAACACTCGACACTTTCAGTATCCTCTTCGGGATTTATTCTGGATATTCATGTGTCTCTGAGGATTATGGCATGGATATAAGATTATCCAGTGGAGTATATTTCACATTTTCTAAAAGTGGGTAAATATATATGTGTACAGGATTTTATTCAAGCTTTATTAGCCGACCGGAGCTTGTAAAGTAATTTTCTGTTGTTCCCGTTAGCGCATAAGTACTTCGTCAGGAAAGAAATGACAAGGGAGTCGTGGAGGGCTAGGGTGCTAAGAGGTGCAACAGAAATCTAGTACAATATGGATAGGAATTGCTAGCATGTGCGCCTAAGTAATATACGTGTAGACGAGTAGGCGAGAGGTTGCGGATCCGGAGGGTCAAGACTCAAGAGAGCAGGCAGAAGCTTGAAGATGAAGAACTTGGTTATCAGTCAGAAGGAGTAAGGATCCAATTGGCAAAGAGTTGGGCCCGAAGAGCACGCCGATGGGAGGGAGAGAATCACATAGAGTACTA